TGCGAATACTTGTTTCACCGGCTGTCACCGGACTGGCGGTACAAAAGAGGATGATTTGCATGAAAAAATATGTTGAAAGTGTAGATTTTTTCTTTCATACGAGGTTTCATTTCCGAATGAATCGATATTGCGGTCGATTTGATTATTTGGCAATTAGATAGCTAAATTGGTCATTAGAATGATCAATTTCGTCGAATTTGCTTGTTTTGTTTTCAATTTCGTCTCTCGTTACATTGTCATCGCACCGAGGCAAACATTTTTGACATTTGAAACTGCAATCAAAGATTAAAGTTGAGGAATTATAAGAGAAGCAATTTTCGATATATCTTCATAAATAGCTCAAAGTAACAGGGCAAATTCGATTAAGGTGTGCGTAAAATTCACTTGATGTGTTTATCAAAGAGAATAATTATGTTAGTTCGCAAACACTTGTATCTCGGAAAGCACTGGTTGCCTTACGTCAAGCAAAAGCTGTGAAATTTTCACGAAGAATAATACAATGCAAATATTGGCTGCGAAACATTATTGCGCGCAATACAACAACGATGAAGCGTCTAAGCGAACGTTTCATGGCACCGACGTAATTCTCAAATGAAATTCAACACATGGGAATCTCTGTATGTATCGGCGAATCCCCAATGACAGGTTCGCGAAACATGCGGCCCGTTTATTCAGAAAGTATCGCGCACGTACAATTATTCAACTGCGGCCGGAGATGCAAGCGGGAATTCGCGTGTGATGCGATTGAAATACTGACATAGAATTAGCGAGCGAACGCACGGACCATTCGCCAACTTATAATTTAACACGAAAATGTTCTCGCGCGTGCATCCGACACGTAAATTACTAATTTCCAATCTGTTTGCACGCGCGCGGAGTCGGAGAAATACAACGCGTATCACTCTCTCCTTTGCCGCTCAATTGTGCCGGTAATTGAGTTCACAATTCCACTGAACGCACCCATCACTCTTGTGAGTGCCGCTTAAACCAATCGTACTGCCAGCGTGCGCTCGTTCCGTTCGATTGTTTATTTGTTTCTCATTTTTAATGTTCACCCACGCATGCTATTTCACTTTGTGCGATCCATGCACGTCTGCTCGCTCGCGAAACACAAATTTCGAAGACGAGCGGGAACGAATTTTGTATCTCGGGATGTTGTTAAATAGTAAAGCGAACGAATTATGCTGAAAGGAATAATGCGAATATCAATCTCTCTCTCTTGAAATTTCATTACGTATCCATTTCGCGTAAGCTCTTCTCGCTCGACTATCGATTCTCTCGACGAGATGGATGTCATTAGCGTCTTCTGCCGAGCTCTAAGACGTTTCTTGGAAATTCTGCCGAATTAGCGAAAATTTTCAGCGCACCCGCGAATCTTCGCGGAAGATAATTGAAACAGACGGGAGAAGCGATATCTTCATTTCCACGTGCCCGGAAAACACGCGATCCTCGTCCCGACGGCAGCTTAATCCCTTTATTGTCCGCGTTTATCTCCCTTCGTTTCCTTTTTTTACGTTCCCTCCTTTACGAGTCGGATACACGGTATCTCGGTATTGTCTGATACACGCGTGATATATTCTCTCTTCAGCCCTCTGTTTTACTCCCCGATGTCACTTCGCATCGGCCATTTATTTTTGAAAGGGGGGAGAAAAAGAGCCGCTTGTAAAGATATAGAGAAAATACTTTGATTTACGACCACGAATACGAAACATTTTTTATCGCCTCGGGTCGTAAAACATCGCGGCGGCTACCCCGAAAACACGGTGACTGCTCACCGTGGGGATTGCGGGGGAAATATTTGGAATAAAACGGAGAATCGATGCAGAAATATTCAAATTGTCGTCCGCGCGATTAATGAGCCGAGCGACGAAAGCAGCGGCCTAATTTTCTCATACCTCGCTGTTTCCACGAAACGAAGACTCTCGAATTTTTCCCACCAAGATAAAAGATGGATTAAAATGAAACACCATAGTCACCCGACTGCGTGGAAGTCCACTTGTGTGTTTTGTGCGATACACAATCGATCCTCAGATCGTATCGCACACTGGAGAGCCGTTCAAAAGGCTGAACGGTTCTACTTTGAATGATAGTCATTTCCACCTGTTGGCTCGCACATTTTCAACTTTACGCCATGCGTCCCTTTCAGGATATAACGGTTTTCTTGCCCTCTAATTAAAGCGATTTGTCTCGGAAGAAAAGCCGTCGCGCACAAGTGTCGTTAAAATGCATGTGCGAATGCAATTCTACATAGGATAGGTCATTGCAAAATGCAAAACAGACGTGCTTTGTTGCCCGTATAATTGCGAGTACGGTAAACGCTATGCTGCATTCGGAGTCTCGCATTTAGCGCTAAACGGGTCTATTTGATTCTAAGTCTCGGTGGCATGATTGCAGACAGAGACTCAGTCGCGAACAAAGGGCTGTAATCAGGGGGTTTCACAACCGCGTGATGACAGGTGTACACTTGACGGCGAAGAGGAAGAATATGTATTAATCGCGCGGCAAAAAAGCGCCTAAAGTTTCAGGTGTCAATGAAAAGTCGCTGTCTTCTCTGTACGATGTTATTTAGAGCAAGCGAATAAAGAAATGCGAGATGGAAAAAGGTTAGCTTGCGAGAAGTTAATCTCGATAATACTGCCTGTGCAGCACAGACCTTCGAGGGACTAAACAGAGAACGTCTTATGTCCTAAATATGTTCCTTGGAGGTATGCTGTATGAGTGATCAACAAATTCAGCATCATAATTTGAACCCTCCTTGAAATTGGATTTTTCCTTTTTACGTCTCCTTGGGACAGAAAACGGTAATTAAGAAGTTATTTAGCTCCATTTGAAGAAATATGCGTTATATTGTAATATTTTGTAAATTAATGATATTGAGAGAGAGAAGTACGAAAATAAAAGGACAGAACATATTTTAAATGATATAAAAAAAGGTCGATGAGAGCCAACGTACATTAACAAATTGCGAAATAATATTCATTTGTGATATAATATTCAGACATTTCGGTCGTGGTCCTCTTCAGTGAAGCGCAATATAAAAACGGAAGGGTTTTTAATCGTATGGCGATCGCTAAAGAAAAATAGCACCTAGGTCATATAATTCAGAGAACTAATTAAATCGATGTTTTCAATAACGCTTCTTTATTTTATACCTAGTACTCTCTAGTCGCAGTTTTGTTTACATGACATTTCGATATCTCATCACTGCGCGAGACTTCGCTTCGTCTCGAGCGAATCCTTCCGTTCCGGCGAAGTAATTGCGGAATTCGCTGCTCGCTAATGAAAATAATTCCTGTATTCCTCATACCTCCTGCGCGCCGCCGGCAAAGGAAGAAACAAAATTCGCAACTCGCTTTACACACAGCGAGACGAGTTGCCGTTTCACGTTTTGCAATTTAATTAATTACATCAAATGCGCAACAAAGGGAAAGGACGCTCTTTTTCTTCAGCGTGCGCGTCATGATGCGCGGTAATTTTCTAGTTTTTAGTTATTCTGTCGGTCGTATAGGCCGAATGGTATATATATTGTTGTTCTCGACACGCTTAATTCGCCGGCGAAAAGTAGCAAAACTAGCGGGAGGAGCTGGCAGGAAGAGACAATTTTCGACACGTTGAATATCGTATCTCTCTGTTAAGTCAACGACAGAAAAATATCGAAACAAGAACTATACCAGAATTAAGCTAATTAGGGGGTAGTAAATCATTTTCCATCAACGAAAAGCTAGACGAAAGGTCGAAAGTTTTTTCCTCGAGCAAGTGACACATATCCAAAAACAAGCTAAACGGTTGGAGCACTTTTCTCAAGCAAGTAGTGCAAGTCGACGACAAGTCAGTCGGGGACGAAAATCGTTACCAAATCGTTACTAAGATAAAGTAAGTTGTAACGTTACAACAAACAACGGCGTTGCTCCCCAACGTTGCTTACACGTAACTTAATGAAACGCCGTAAGTGTCGTAATATCGCGGCCGATGGCGACATGTTGATTACATCATATGGATTACGTTGATCTGCGTCGAGAATATTCGGTGGTGCGAACACGCCACGAGAAAAGGAGACGAGCGGGTGTGCACTCGACTCGACTACCCAACTACTTATCCCTCCAGTTTGAGACTCGCATCGCTTCCTGCCGGAAACTTAACAATTAAGTTCGCACTTAACGCCGCCGCTAAGAAAGGCGCGCTTTGAACATGTTCGTCAGCAGATCGAACGTAATTTGTCGACATCTATCGCATCGCGACCGTTTAAATTTGCACGAGCTCTCAAGAGTGACGCGAGAGAGAGAGAGGGGGACGGAGCTATCGCGACCGTTTACATAGATTTTCCGAAAATATTTACAATATAAATGCCGAAGCCGGCTACCTGTTATCGTTGCGCATATCGCCCAACAGGAAATTCTTTATATCAGAAAACTACATTTTCTCTCCGCGGCATGCGCTCTCTCTTTGAAGCTCTCGTGCACGATCTCAAAGGCGGTGGCATGCCCGAGGCAACACTTTTGCTTGCCGAGGGAAGATGAGAGAGGGATAGCGAGAAAGAGGGAGGGAGACGAAGTTTCGTGTAAGCAGCTGGAAATCCGGGAGTTTCATGCCGAGCGAAGAATGTATAACGCCCTGTCGGTGTGGTCAACTTTTTTCATTAAATAAAGCCGATGCATATCCTCTCTCTGAAGCTGTACTCGCCTATTTCCCTCTCTTTCTTTCTTATTTCCTACTCTTTCCGTTCTTCTTTATCCGCGAATTACGAAAAGACGCGTTCGTTAACACCTTCGGTAGTTTCAGCGTGTCGCGCAAAATCGCAACGAATCGGAAGTGCTCGGAGCATCTTGTACGCGCGCTCTTTCTCAGCGAGCCTGTGACAATAGCGAGTCGTGTAATAATTGGACTTATAATACAATAGTAATGAGGTGATGTAAATACTTTGATTTCGGTGCGAATCACGTGCGAGAAGGTTAAATTTTTCTTCTTGCCGCTCAAAGCACGCGCGTATCTCTCTGTTTCAGGAACGTACTTCATTCTGTACGACTTCATCGACTTCTTCGAGAAGGATCACGCCAGTTTCTTGGACCGAGACAAGTTTCTCAACATCATCAATACCATCTTCAAGAACATGTCACAAATTGAGCGGGAAGCCATCATTTTCCAAGTGAGTCCAATTCACATTTTACGCGCATCGCCATGAATACTGCGAGTTCTCTTCTTCTGAATCTCATTGTTAAGTTATTTATTTATTTATTGTGTATGCTCTTTTTATCTATTGAACACATTTTTTCTACTCACTTTATTGTCTGTCCATATATACGAATTTTTGTATTTTCTTTTAAGTTACTGTATTAAGTTGTTTGAGGTTCCTGACAATTATTTTTAAATTTTATAATGAATTAATTATATTTTTAATTTAAGTTATTAAAATATTTCCAACCTCTCAATTGCGAATTTTTTAAACAAATATACAGATTTTTTAGGAGATATACTAACAGACATCTCGACCAATATCCGATGAATTTTTCGCGCAAATGTCGCGAGTGAAATCGTCAGCTCGCCGTTCCTCCTACCCGACATTCGACAGAACGATGTCGATATGTCGATCTAATTGCGATACGTCTGCGCGAACAAAGCGAGCGGGCGCGCGCACTTCGGAGCGTTAAATATGTCCGAATTCCGAGATCTCCCTCGCGGGATCGAGATACCGTTCGAATTACGTTCCTCGTGCAGCCAAGAGATACCTCGCGCACAGAGAGGCTCGCACATACACACTGCGACCTATATTTCCTTTTTTTTTCCTTCCTTCCTGCAAACTACCACTCAGTGAGACCTCGACTATATATTCATCGGCCTCGAGCGCTCTTCTTGTTAGCTAACTCCAACTTGTAACTGTCGCTAAGTCGCTCCGGGGCTCCTTTTTGTAGAACAAGCGGACCATATATCATGTGTCAATTTGACTCCTCGCCGGGATAAGTGGAACTTAACACACGTGACTGGACACGCTGTCCGTAGCGTTATTAATTAAACGCGTATCGACGCTCGCTAATACATACCTCCTCTTTTTTCCTCGTACCGATTTGTTATACTTCGCTGCAGCGTAGGCGTGTTATTATCAACTTTCACGGCGAGAAAAAAATGTCGATAATAACGTCGGCGGAAAAAAAAAACGAATGAACGCAGAGAGACATTCCTCGGCACCTTCCTCCGTCCGTGACTTTATTACGTGAGCGCGTCTTCGATTAATTCGAAAAATCGAGAATCAGTCTTGGTAATACGAGATATCACGGTGATTTCCAAGCTAGTGAGAATTTCAAGAATTCTTCGGATTAAGACTCGGAAATAGATAATAAATAAACTATGCTCTTCATTTAACCCGAACGAACTTTACTTCGACGGAAGTGTAATTCGAGAGTTAATTACGGAGATGTTCGACATCCGTCGCTCGGAAGTGTCGTGAAAAAAGGCAGCGCCCAATCAGATGTTTGCCGAGACCGAATTGGTCTAAGAATTCGCGAATTGAAACACACACCAAGAAGCCTTGCACATTTCCGATGATTATATTTACTTTCGATTCAGAAAACCGCTCGTTAGATTTGGACGGAAAAAATTCAATGTTCTCCGTCCAAAATCGCCAGTTTACTGAGTTAACTCAGCCGTATTAAATTTTCTGTTCTCGTTGTTTCAATCGCTCGCGCTATTGTGTGCGCCGATCGTATTCCGCCCTTTCATAAATTTTAATTCACCGTTTTATAACGGAGTTTATTCTCCGACGATGTATTAATGGGGGCGACGGTCTGGACTCGCGACGCAAAGTTTATTACGCCCGTTTCGCGGCGGGCCAAAATTTTCGCGGAAGCGTAATCACTAACGCGGCGCTTCTATCTCTGTCGGGAAATTTTTATTTCGTGGAAATTCACCGTGGGGTGCAGTTACGCGTCTCGAGTGATTTACAGAATAACCGTATGCAACGTTTCCAACATCTCCTTATTTTCCGGGGCGCCGTGTGTCGCGTGTCGCATCCACGCGCTCTGTGCATTTCTCAAACGCGGCCGGACACGCGCGAGAAAGAAAAGAAAGGGAGAATATATATTTATATATATAGAGAGTGAGAGAGGAGGAGGGGACAAAAGACATAAATATTTTGATTAGTGTTTTAGGATATTACCTCTAAGGACGTTAACGTTAAAAAAATAATAATATTATGATGATTCTAATAAGAAAAATAATATAGAAAAAGAAAACTTAAAATAGAAAAATAATGCAGAAAAAAATATACAATGTAAAGTATGAGAAAAGAATAACAGCTTTGGGAAATAATAATAATGAGAATAAAGAAGATAATCCGCACGTTGTGTTCAAAAATCGTCTCATATTTCAATCATAAAATATTGAACAGTAATGAAATGAAAGAAAAGGAAAGATCGAGATAAACAGAGACAGAGAAGATAAGATAAAGAGAATAAGTAAAAGATATATAGAAGAGGAGGAGAGAGGTAGAATAACGAGGGAGACGTGCGGGCGCGCGCGAAAACGAGCCGGTAATCCTCGATTTGTGTAAACGCGTTTATCGAGAGCCACTCGTGTAAATGAAATTCGCGTGAGACGAAAATGATTTCCGCGCGCGAAAGACGAGCTCGCGTGCGTTCGTTAAAACGTTGTCTGTGCTACGCTGCGCCGCAAGTTGTATGCACACAGCGGTCGAGCACACAATATAATCTATGCCACATAAAGTTTAACTTTTCCCACGCCCCGTGCTTTTCGCTTATCCGTCTATTTTCGCGGTGAGAGAACGAGGTGATTATTGCGAACGAGGACGAGAAAACTACGCGCGTACGACAGCTACTGAGAACATACTTTTCGTACACCCGGTATGTAAGATGACGGATTAATACCGCGTCAAAAGTTTGATCGTACAAATACCGATTCGTTATTAGCCCGTTGGGCATCGTAAATGCTTTTCCAATACTGAGAATTATCCAATATTTCAATTACCAGCACACACACACACACAAAGAGAGAGAGCTCTCGTTTTTCCGCCCATATAAATTGTGGTTCTTTCGTGCCACAGTATATATGAGCCGCAGGTAAGAGTGGATGATAGCGTGGAACATCGAGTGATTAAGCGAAATGTGCTCGGAAAGTCGCTCTCAGCCGGCGCGAAACGGCATGTATTTTTTTCTTTTCCCGGCGAGGAACTTTCGCGATAGACACGCGGGCGTTATGGCGTATAACGATCGATGTAACGGCTTCGAATGGATGGTTCCGTAACGGTCGCTCGCGGAGTCTCGAGAACTATTTCAATTCTCGTATCGATTGTAATTGGGGGAGATATTGATGGATCGTAAGAGGATCATTCAAGATGCGCACGTGTGCGATCGGAAGGTATCGCGGACAGGAAGCTCTCCCGCTTCCTTCATACTCGTCCATTCCGCGAAATTTCACAGGATAACATTTTTGTAACTCTTCCCTCGAGAGAGAGAGAGAGGGAATGAAGAATGCGTTCTTTCGTTTCAGCGGTAATTCCAGAGCACGCGATATCGAGCTTATGAGAAGTGCTCCGTTCATATATGTGCGATAATGCGGAATAATTTACAAAGCTCTCGGATTTATCGTGAGTTATTTCAAAATCTCCGAAATAAATTCTGATGCGGAAGATCGAAGCCCGTGGCATCGATTTAGACGCAACGAAAGCGGTTTGAAGGTCCGTCTTTTGGACGGAGGATTCAGGTCGGAAGCATATTTATAATTTCATCTGCTCGCACGAGAGAATTCCGCGAGTTTGGCCGAGAAAAGATGTGACGCTTCCAACAGGTTTTCTAACGTGTGACTGGGAAGGGCGGCGAGGGAAAATCGATATCGTTATGTACTTAGGCAATGTCACTCTTCAAAGAGCTTCCATTCTACTGGCCGACCGCTAATTACTTTCCGATCAGTGGAACGGCGCGTCAAAGTTGCTTCGTCAAGGGCCACGTCTCATGGCTGCGTGAAACCTCGAGTTCCGTGTACATTTCATTAAGTAGCCGGGGAACAAAGCCGAGAGGATGGCTTTCGTTTACGGCACGTCGTACATACGATACCACGTAAAGGTCAGAGGACTTCATCTCTCCCTCCGATGGATACATCGCTAATCGGCTCTAGCGATCGAACGACCTCTTCTAGTAGTTGGAATAAGAACAAAGTGATCGTCCTAGTGAACTTGAATTTTCGGGGGTGAATTTGTTCGAGTCAGGAACAACGGATTCAATTTGAAAGTGATGTATGTTCTGTTTCAGTATACCGATTGGGAACGGATAAACGACGGCTATCAGAATCAGAGAGCGATCGCGGACATCGTCGGCGATTACTTCTTCATCTGCCCGTCCACGTACTTCGCGGACTTGTTCGCAGCCCGCGGCATGAAGGTCTACTATTACTTCTTCACGCAGGTGAGCGCGACTATAAGACGGACGCATTTCGCGTGTCAAGAGACAATGGCGCAGTCGATAGACCATCATTATATTACCTGCCGTGACATTTAAGACGATTTAACGGCGATAATTTCTGAGAAGAACGGGTGAAGTATTTAGCACTCTAATTCCCTCGCGTGACGTCCACGTCGTGCATGCTACGTGAAGAAAGAAAGATACGAGAAATTCTAGATACGCGTTTCGTTCCACACACTTGCACTATCTAAATGAAACGTCGTTTTGTACGTGAATTTTAAGAAATTTCTCTCGAGAAAAACCATAAGACATACAACTTTATGCAAATTATGTTTTAACCGCCAACTTTTCGCACTGAGAAAATTCTTTGTAACTTTATCAACCGTAAAACACTTTGAGTGTATCACGCTAATTCTGTTACTGAAATGCCCGTCGTTTCCACATAGTGAAAGGTTTGGAGGAGGAGGAAAAACTGTTGTTTTCCCTGCGGTACACATGATATGCTGAATCAAACAGTGTCTAGATCATACGGAGCTCCAGATAGCTGAAACATATCAAACCGATCTCTTCAATAAAGCTTCTCCACTTATATCTCGGCCACCCCCTAATCGATCATCGGCGCTCGCTCGCCGCGTGCGATAAAGCGTACGCGGCGAATATTACGATGTGCGGTAATCCGCGTTATCAATCACACACGAATCGCACGCCTGATTTATTTCACCATTTTGCCGGCGTCACAAATTTGCTCCAGTGTAATCACACCGGAAGACAACGCCGCTGCTGCTGCTGCGACCGTGTGTCATCGGGGTGTATAATGTTTAGAATCAGAACGCGGCAAATTGTGCGCATTCATGATGCTGTACAATTACAGTTCCGCCTCCTCCTTCCGTATATGCACGACCACCAAAATTATTTGAAATGCAAACTCGCGCGCGCGTTATGCACACGTTATGCGCTCGCCGTCATAGCCAGGCTTCCTGCACGCTTCGCGTTTACGTTGCGCGTGCGACGAAATCCGCCTCACCTCCGCCGAGTACTTGTTGATAATACGGTCATTATACCCCGGGTATTTCTATGGTGTGCCTCGGTGCCCCCACTACCGGCTGGTAATTATGTGTAATTCTGCGACACAATTGTTTGTTATTTCTTACAAATGAATAGCCGGGAAATCTGGAAGAACGTCCATTTTTTTAATATTTCGGTCAACAAAAGGAAGATACCTTAAAGAGCATTGAAAGACTTTTAAGGTTCAAAAGTTTTGGACCCACCCGAGTGGTTCGAGTGCCGAGCCCAGGTATTCGAAATTGACGCCGCTTGATCGTCAAACATAAAGATCGCGCCTTTTTACTTGCTCAGGTGGTTCTTAAAAAGGGAACGGAGTGTAATAGGTAAAACATTTAAATAAATCGACGTATTCGGCTTATCTCGCTGAATCCGGTGACAAGTGGCGTGTGTGCCAAATCCGGCTTAACTAAAATCGCGGGGAAATCTGACCTTTTCTTCGTCTTCCTCTTTTTCTCGGATATCTCAATTCGAGCTACACGTACCACGTTGTTGAATTTTTCGCGAAGTCAATCGGTATTCAAAGTTGCGAAAAGTAGCTTCGCACGTCCGTTAAACTCGAAATGAGAAGTAGGTCGCTTGAGAGGCGTTATGCTGGAGTCGTTGGTTTTTCGTATCGCGAGTCGATCGTTGGCCTTATGTTAAATCTTTAATTCTACAACGCAGTAGCAACTAAGATAGCAAGATTAAAGTTGGTTTTTATTACGCTGTAAGTCATTTATGTTCAAAGTACACGGAGAAAAATAATTTGCTGGCACAGTAAATTTTATATTACAGTAGCAAAATCTGCCAATTATTATGTGGACAGCAAAACGATTTGTTAAGAATACTAATTGTCATTCGCTGAGTTATTTTGCTGAATCTTTATTAATTATGTATTATAAATAATTAATAAATTATTTTGCTGTAAGAACAGATTAGTAAATATATAAAAACACTATTTTGTCATTGAGAAAGAGACGGAGGAAGAAAAGAGTGAAAGAGAAAAGTGCGAGGAAAAATGAAGGGTGAATGGGAGAGAGAGAGAAAGAGAGGAGGGGGGGGGGGGGGGGNGTGAGAGATCGAGAGAGCAGAAACAATTGGATGGGAAAATATTCATAGAATGCGAGGAACGCGAGAACTCGCGGAATAAAATAGTGATTTATTTCCTATTACTTGATTTAATATTCGAGTGCTCCTTTGCGAAAACCGCGAGGGACGCGATTAGAACTACGTTATTTTGACCCGGGTCGAAATTTGAACGTTACTTTGGCGCTCATAAAAATAGCTTGCGTCTACTTCGATGGCCTAGTAAAGGCCGGTAATAGTATAAACCAGACTAGTAAAAACCAACTTTAATATCGCTTTAAATAAGTCTACTTTAATATATGTGCTATATTAATATTAATAATATAAATCGCACATAATTGGAATAAATCTTGATTCAACAGCAATGTTATTGGAACTAACACATCAATAACTCAAGTATTAGTTTCAACGATATTGTTATTGAATTATATGAGAAGATTTACTCCAATTATGCGCGCCGTTGGAAATTCTATTGATTAAATAGCATTTTTCCCTGTAAAGAAGAAAAATGTACTAGAAACCGTGACGACATGATGTGTTGCTTCTGGAGTAACGGTGACTGTGACGAGTTACTTTCTAAATTGAGTGGCGGCGTAACGAGATAAGGTAAGGAATTACTTTGAAAAGGGCAATCTTCCAAGTCCGACTCAATCGAGAATTGACAGAGGAAATAAGCGTTCGATGCGTCGTTTGCGGAGGACGCGTTTCCGGCAGGGGTGCGTTGCTTTCGTATTCCAGCAATGGTCTAGGCGATAACGCGGTATCGCACGCGCTCGCCGTGTGCTTTCCGTTCTCCTGGGCGGACCCCGGCAGCCGCGAGGTAATCTTCGCGTCAAAGGAGCAAAAAACTCGCGCGAAGTATATTTTCAGAGCAAATAAATGAAAAATGAAGATCTCGCCAGTATACTAGGTAATATCACGTAATATCGTGTACTTTGAGGGTTTTCTCTCAGAGGTGATTCCCCCCCCCCCCTCTCGCTCTCCTTTTCTCCCTTTCTCTCGTCTTCTCTCGTGCGAAGAACTGGCGGCGAAAAATCCAGAAACATCGAGCGCCCCGTGGAAGGAATTATGTTATACGCGGAAGAAGGACGCGCGGTGAGAGAAAGAAATTTAATAAAAAAAAGATATCTCGGCGAAAAGATTGCAAGTAATTAGCAATTAATTTCCACTCGTCCGCGAGTTCGCCGGAGATAGAGCGCACTGGAAGCACGAGAGGGGGCGGGGAGGGCTAGACGTTCTTTTAACGACGTAGTACTGTATATGATTTCGCGCGCAACGCAACGTTATTTTTATCAGAAAACATAATTCTGGCCGGCGAAGTTCGTTAACTTCAGACGTAAAGTGGGCAAAAGTCGGCGGGATAATAATATTCCAAAAAGTCTGTAGTTAAAGCTAGAAATGGAAATCCTCCAGCGGGGAAGACTCTCGCTCGGTTTGTTCGTTGTCCTTCAATCTCGCTCGAGCTCATTCATCGGAGTGATTTTCGACGTCGCGAAAATGTCGCAAATACTTGCAACTCCAACGCGAACAGATCATCGACGAGCATTCGGCATCGTCGTGACGGATAATTCTCGAGGCCTTGCAAAGATCATTTTCGGCGCGTGTCGATCCACCCAATTGCGCGCTCACGATCGATCTCGCGCACGTCGATTAGCCCGGACCCTAGTTTACCTGATTCTTTGCGCTCGCCTGGGAGCAGCAGCTCGAGGGGGAGGATGTATAGAATAAGTTTGAACTGCAGTTAAAGTTTGCTAAACCGGCCTTTATATACCTGAACTGCCACTTAGAGGGTCCGTGAGCGCTCTTTATTGAATAAAACAATATTACATCGCAAATACAAGTACGACGAACAGTATCGTCACATAAATGAGAGAGAGAGAGAGAGAGAGAGAGAATGATGACGCGATTCGTGTGAAAAATTTCGGGATTCCTCGCGCCACTTTACTATGTTTAACTTGAAATATCCGACAAATTTGGACCGTTTCACTGCCTTTTCGTCGCAGCATTGCACGCAACGTCCATCATCAATTCGAATATCATCAACGTGAACGAAGTTTCGCCATGAGAAATAGCACTTTTATCTAATCCGCGTCGTTGATCGTGTGTCGCTCACCTTCCTCACACTCGACAACCCCCTGTGCGCTCTCCCACCCCCGTAGTTTCCCAGTCATTTACTTCGGCTCGTTTTCCTATTTTTCACTACTTTATTTTCGCTTTCTCACTCCTTCCCCGCGCAACCTTTCGCCGTTGCACTCTTCACGTTCTCTATTTAACTCGTCCCCCGTCGCTTTTTCCACCTCTTTCTCCTTCTCGCCCTTTTCACCCTCCGCCTTCATCGCAGCTCCTGAGCCGTGAAACGCGCATAAGCGAAATGCCGCGGCGGCGCGGAGGCTCGAGCAATTAGCAGAGAAGGTAATTTATCAGGAGCGGGCACGCCTCGGCCGTTGGAAGTAAAGAGGATGTCATTACTCATGTGCGCCAGCCGTAATCTTAATAACGCCGTCGGCTGGTTAGCGAACTGAAGGTGAGAGCGCTTCTCCTTTTTTCCCGCCTTTTCTTCATCGTCGCCTAGTCGTTTTTTCGTTTCCGCATCGCTCTCGCGTCGCACCTTCGTGAATTTCGGCTTCGCTCGCGAAACTCTGCGGCGGACGAGCCCTGGTATCGATCGGCACCAAGTGCCGACATCGATATCATCCAATCCTGTATGTCTCGACGACGACCTGCTGAGTCACCGCTGTCTGTGGCTCGCGCACCTTGGCGTTTTAATTAAACGTTACACGGGAGAAAAGAATCACGGGCCCTACGTTCTACATTATTCTGATAAAAGTAATATTCTACATCGTCCGGTCCTTCATTCCAGATAGAACGCGAGCCAAACTCCCCCGACGGGAATTTCGCTCGGCGACATGTAACCCGACCGTAGCCCCGAATTAGAATCACCACGTCGTGTCGTTCTGACACGGTGATATTCTGTTAGATTCTTCACCTCGCACACGCGAGAATATAACTCAGTATTACGATCGATAGGGCTAACCGTTTTGTTGTTATTAGCTGAATTACAAGTGAAATATGTTTACATTATGAGTTATAAATTTATTAACTCAACTTTAAAGTGCACATTAAGTTACGTTTACGAGTACCTGAGAGAGTGGCAGCCATTTCTAAGTATCGTACTACAAAGTATCATAGTACGTATAAAAAAGTTGCCAACGTTACTACTAGGGTTACTAGGTGCTTACGACAACGAGTGCAGAGTGTGAGTGAGATCAGAATCTAAAAGAGCAGTACATACCTCCATCTATAATATAACTATTATATTCCATGGTCTGTTTTTGCTCTTCCGCTATCTGGTAACCGTAGAAGCAGAGTAAAGAGCAAATCATCGGCTAATACTCGAATCGATCTCTGAACAGTGTGAACTTGGAGGACTTTATACGTGAAATACTTAATCATTTTCAACAATAAGACAAACTTTAACAATAAAATCAATATAATCATTGATTTTATTTTAGCTAAGTCCTATTACTATCCGTGAGGAGTCTCGAGTCCATTAAAAAATGGACACAATTCTTTCGTTCAACGATATCTCGGTCTCGGGTTATAATGAAATCGTATCTTCGTATTATTCTAACGGAAGTAACGGGACGACATTCAATCCGATCCTTTGCCTCCCGTGCTATGTGCAGGTTTAAATTTCTCTCGATAAAAATTTAGCTCGACGAGAGGAAATCACGGCATCAAATTTAAAATTATCACAATGGAGACAGAAAAAGAGAGAGAAGAGAGAATGAGAGGAGAAATCAGTCTGAAGCGTCCCGGGAAACGAAGTCGCGTTGGCGCTTTCCATCTCGCAACGGAACAATGATAAAGGTTCAAAGAGTTACGCGAGTTTTAACATCGCTAATGTCATTTCGTTATCCTCAATAAACTATAACCGCGAAACTTTAACAACCATCGCAAGGGCAGCGCATTAAATTATAACTTCGGTGCTGACAGACGATGACACGTCGTGCCTGGGCAATTTTCAGCTCCTATATATATAGATATCTACTTTCGTTTTAATATTTACCGATACTTTTCACCGTCTTTCTTTGCTCTTTATTTCAAACCGCGATACTCTCGCGACGTCCGTCACAATATTCGTGAGCTAACCTAACCACAGCAGCGTAAGTGTGAAGAAAGTTTAATTCGGTTAAAAAACGGTTTTGGACAAAAATCAGGCTAATATTTAATCAACGATTGGAGTCGCTGAATACGAATCTTTACGTCGAATTTGGATTTTTAATAGTATCACATTGCATAAAATTGTCAATTGTTCTGCAAAAAATAAGATTCTCTTCTATCGTAAGATCGCTCATTTTTCAACTCACGTTCTTACTTCGAAGAAGGTTAGAATAAAAATGCGGACTCCCAAATACAAGACTACGGACAATGGAACATCTACGTAAGTCGTGGAGCGGGAAGGGACGCGTTTAGTTTCAGCAACTTCCCGTAGGATACCCAGTACATCACGAATGACGAATAGCGAATACGTAGTGCAGTCTCAGCTTCAGAGAAGTAAAATCGAAGAAACTAACCGGTGGAAACGTATACATTGTGTTGCAGAGGACGAGTACCAATGTGTGGGGCGAATGGATGGGCGTAATGCACGGTGACGAAGTGGAGTACGTCTTCGGGCACCCGCTCAACATATCCCTTGAATACACCGACAAAGAGCGAAATCTAGCATTGAGAATCATCGGTCACTTCTCGGAATTCGCGTACAAAGGGTAAGTAGCATGTGTAACGTCGATCGACGCGAATAAGAAACAACTGTTCATGTATGTGACCCAGCGTTAAGTTGATCATCCGACGGCGGAAGGCGCTCACTTACATACAGAAACACAACTCCTCGAGATTTCAGCCTCGAGTAATTTCTCGTAATATCGTGGCTCGATTCCTGACCTCAATCTTCCTTCCTCCGCCGTTGGTAAATCACGCCAGTCGTATTCTGGCACTAACTTATCAAATATTTACGCGCGTTACGTAAATATTTCTTCCATTTCTCCCGACACAATTTTTGACTGTACCCTCCTCCCCCTCCTCCTTCCCCTGAGAAACGTTCGTATTCATTTATTTTCGACCGAATAAAGCTGTCTAGCGCGCCATCCGTTCATTATTTCGGCGTTAATTTTGATCCGCGTTGATTTATTCAACGCACACTGGTTCGATACACGGTTGCGCGCGCGCACGTTTGTCCGTGTACAGAGCGGCATGATGCTTTCTATTTCGACAGTGGGCGTGTAATTCCATCAATTTTTTATCATTTTCATATTTTATTTATTAAACAACTTTTCACTCCGCATATTAACGAAATTATTAGATGAAATAATGCGTAATGCGATTGAAGTCAGCTCGATATCACATTTCGCTCGAACGCAACGCGCATGCGTGCGCGCGACGCGAATATATTACTTTGTGCACGGAACGCACTCGCATGTATTTAATGAAGATATACAACGCTTAACGCTAGAATTATGAAAATTACCGGACACAGTGTTTTCATATTTATTAATAATAGTACGCTTAATCGGACTCGTTTTGCACGCGCGCGGTTTCAACAAAGGACTCGAGACGATGTCTTTACGTCGATAAAAAGCTGATAATAAAAAGCACAATAAAATACGAATTATGGCGGTGTCAATTCCGGAAGTACGAGTATCTCCGATATTACCAGAGAATCATCCAGTTTTATTTGCTCTTATTATTATTATTCTTATTTATATTAATGTTTTATGAAATATTTTGTATGTTTTTTTTTTTATCAAAATATATATTGTAATATAAAATACTCAGTATTAACTTTTCGTTAACTTTATCTTCATACTTTTATACATAGATTGCTGAGAAGAATATATTTATTTGAAAAAACATGACTTTATTAAAAAAAAAAAATTTCATTCCAGAGTAACACCTGCGAGTACATAGGTTATTATATTACTCAGATACCCGTATAGAAATACCTGGATTATGCTAAAGTATTAATGGAAGAGAAAACGAATCAGCATCTCTTTTCGGAAAGTGCATTTAAGATTTTCCGAAAGTATGTGTTTCCGCATTTGCCTTGGATTTAACGAAGTCGATAAATTCTCCCATCTCTGCGAAATAACACAAGCGAGAGGGAATTCTTTCTTGAATTTGCCATTTCTCGCAACACGTTCGTCGTTAACTCGCGACCTATGCAACGTACAGTTGAAATCTAGAAATATGGGTTGCAGCGTGGATAGCTAATAAAGTGTGATGTGTAGGCCGACAATGTTCCCAACAAAGTCACGGTATTACATCATCCTATTATGGAGAGAATAGCGAGATCAATTTTGCCAAGGACAATGTCTATGTCACTCAATTGACGAGTACTTTGCTAGAAGCGAAGGCCACGAATCATAGATACGAATGTAAAGATCACCCCGACGTGTGACGCGACGACGTTCTATAGAAGTTCGCGACCGGTGTTGTATTGAGAGAAAGCTGTTTGAACAACAAAAAGATATAATTAGCGCTGGAAATTCATTAAATTTTAGTGACTGTGTTTTAGCCAACCATTTTTTCTCTCTCGGTATGATAAACTTATCACCTGCTATAGCGGGATAACGAGTTCGAAGAGTTAACAATTTTTCCTCTCAGTATACTGAAATTCCTGGCGACATCGACGAATATACCATCATGCATGTGAGAAACCATACTGAACGATAGATGAAAGGTTATAGTGCGTAAAGAATCGGAGCTAAATTAAATTTTCTCGAGTAAATTCCGTCCCAATGCGTCGCCCGGGGGTTTTATTATAATTTCGACGTTTCGCTGGATTAACGCGCGAAATATTCAATAGAAATTTTCACACGTTCTAGTTGAAATATCCAGCGCGGAATTACAGATATAAGTGACACACTATGCGCGCCGTTTGCGAACGAGTTCGCTGATGTGTAAAACGAAGTTAATTTAAATTCAAATTATAACTGCAAGAAAAAAAGAATAAGTTAATTAGAAACTCCAACGCTGATCCAACGTCCGAATCTAAACTTCTATTTATTAGTGCGAAAATTTCTGTATTCGACCGTACACTGTGTGATCCAATACGCGGGGATAATTTTCGAGGAACGCGATCTTAGCCGGACGAACGAAGAAGCTTATTTTCAAAAAAGTCTTCTCATTGGCGCGATAAGCAATATATATATATTAATAAACTTGCACAACTAGTTTCGCAAAACTCGCTCGCAATAATAATTCAGACTCCAACATTTATTCACGCTGAGAATCTATGCCTTCCGGTTAAAAACTTTTACTACAATTTCTTCTGCTTCAAATTTAATGAAAAACACTCGAACTCTCTCAACTGAACGTGACTTTATAAATTTATCGTAAATTTAATTATGTTTGCCGATTCTGATTGTACATCAAATTAAACGCGAAACAAATGTATTTTCAATTTTGTTCAATTTAATACGATCTGTTTTCATGCATATATATATACATCGATGTTTCTTTCCTCTCTCTCTCTCTCTTTCGTACATTCCCGACAAACGTTCGTACTTGTGCCAGCTTCCGATACCTCTTCGAGCGGGCGAGCGCGTTTCCTCTATTAGAGACAGAGATTCCCATCTCTATTCCGTTTGAAGTTCGAACATAGTTCTGCATCCAACTTGCCGCGCCTTCCTTTCCTCGTTACTCTTCGTTTTCCATCATCCCGCCTACCCGTCACCCCTGTCGATCGCAATTCGCTCGTAGGTGGAAAGTTGGAGTGCGCGATTTGCGATTGCGACGTATCGCTTTACCTCTTGAATTATTTTCCAGTGTGCCAACGGCGGTGGAATCCGACTGGCCGGCGTACACCAAGGAACATCCGCAGTACTTTATCTGGAACGCGGAGGAGACCGGCTTTGGCAGAGGTCCCCGCACGACGGCTTGCGCATTTTGGAACGAGTTCCTGCCGCGATTGAAGAGAGTTCCCGGTACGTGCAGCGTGCCGTGCGCCCTCACGGAATAATTTTGTCTTTTCTCTTTTTCTCCTCTAGTTACATTTCCCGAGTACATGCACTGACGGAAAATGCTATTCCAGAGATAAGGCAGTACACTTGAGACACGAGAAAATGTGCGCGCGCGGTCAATGGTGACTGCGCGAATTATGCGATTAAGTTTTCCCTGCCATCGATATAACGCGCTCTTTAAACGCCGGCACGATAAATAATTCAGTTATTAGCCGTTCAATATGGCCAGCCACGTGGCCAGCGTTTCTATGTTGACTATTTAATTATGCCATGCGATTGACATTGCGCTATGCGTAAGTTTGCAACGCGCTCGGGAAACTCGATACTCACGGGGCGCCAGCCGGCCGACCGTTACTGCAAATAATTTCGATGTTTCTGTTTATCCGGGACATATCGGATTAAACAGCAGCGATTGTTTGCAAAACGAGGCGGCCGATTGCGCACGTACTTGTCCCCGATAGTTTTCCATCGTCGCGTTCTCGATAACGATTTTTGTAAATGAAAATAAATGAAATTGCATTATACTTGTGAATTGATATGGTTACTTACTATATTTTAATATCATTCTTAATGTCATAAACATGCAATTACATGGAAAATTTGTGGGGTCAGCAGCTCGCCCCAATTGGGAACTTATATCTGAGAAGCCAGCATGGGAATCGAATCAATTATTCCTTGATTATGGAGGCTTCCTAAACAATATCTTAATATTGTTTCTTGATACTTAAATGTTTGTTTAAAATATTAATTTCTGAATTTATTGCTATCCTTTCGTTGGCTTGCAACCGATCGGTAAAGAAAGATTATCGCTAAATTTTCGTTTGTCCCGATATGCGAGCGATCCACTTTCTAACTATGATACATTGGTAGACAGAAAGATTGTCGCATTTTTTTCACGAGTTTTGCAACGCATCTCTTATTCAACGGAAGAATGTATCTCCTGAAAATAATTAAGAAACAAATTCTCCTATTGTAAACGCAGAATGCGTCCCGAAATTTATGCAAAAAAAATGTGTTACAATCTTTCTGTCTATTACTGTATGCTAACTGGCAAAATAGTTTTAATATCACACCATGTAATTAGGTTACTAGTATTTTATAATTCTACACGTAATCTATACATTTGTTTCTAGATATTAACGTAAAGCTATCACAGAGACAGGTTATTGATTCAACACATTGTTACCTTGCTTTATTCTCTCTCTCTCTCTCTCTCTCTCTCTCTGAATAATTAATAAATAATAAATTTCTAATGCGCGTTAGAAAATCCTAATAACCTAATTATATAGCGAGTTAAAGCTATTCTCTCGGTTAGTGTATACCCAGTCACACAGTTTGTATGTTAGTTTATATCGATCGTTTGATATGTGCACCAAACAGTAATTTTATACTAAATTATCTTAATTCAGTACTACATATTAACGATGTATTAATCTGGCATGGTACGCATAAAGAAAGCTCATCGTAACATCGTTTAATGCCCGCATTGATGAAATAAAGATAATTCAGTATAAAATTATTAATTGGTACGAAGAGTAAAAATAATATTATCTGTCCACGACTCTAATGCAATAAATATCGCGCTGATTGGATCATTTTTTGAGATCACAACTTAAAAAACAAACGTTTCCATTTCCTTTCTCCATCTGGAATTCCTCCATTCCTAAATGATCCCATTAACGCAGGATAGTTTCGTATTAAGCGCATGTACGGCTCCTAATGACCGAGTAATGACGTAATGACAGACATGACGTCTCTTTGTCGCAGACTGCTGCTGTGATATATATCCCCATGACGACTAATCGAAGGCTCATCGCCTACGACGTACAATTTAGACGCACCGTCGTTCATCTTGTCCATTATAGTATTGGTGTCGTATTAACACGTTGACTGTCATGAGAGTGACCGGCGCTACACGTAGAGAGAATTTTAACATAGAAATTACCGTAGCATTTTGCAACCCCGAGGAACACATCGATATTCCGTCTCAATTGATTATCCTCTCTATTTCACTTACGATATTTCCCGCACGACTAGAAAACGTAATAAAATTGAGACGGGAATTGATTTTAAAATAAAACCTATAGTATTCTCTTTGCCTATACAATATTGTTGCGTTTCACTAATTAACGGATGAAACGTAATTGTATATAACGAATCAAATATACAACGAAAATGGAGCGAACGCATTGTGCATTGCGTTGCCTGAGGAAAATCCGATTTTAGGAAAAAAAAGGAGGGTTTCTGTAAGAGGTTTCTACTCAGCCAATTGTTCTCAGTTGTTTGAATGTGTTCGGTCGCAATAAAGCAGAGATGTTTTCGTTTCTTGTCACCGAGTATTCGGTTGCACGAACCGAGTTCTTTTGCCGTGCTAACAATAATGTTACTTTCATTGCTCTTAGGAGCGCGCGAATGTCTCCAAGTTCCTGACCTCGCGCTTCCGCTTCTGTTCGCAGACCCAACGCCCGAGGCGTGCAACAGCGCGATGGCGTCGAGCATCTCGGCGGGCGTCGGCGAGCTGCGTGCATCACCGATCGCGTCCATCCTGCTGCTTCCGGTGCTGGCGATATACAGACTCGTGTAAAGGTCGCTTGCTCACCCGTGTCGGCGAACGAACCCCTTCTCACGGCTGGCAAGTACTTGGCTGGACGGAAATGCTCCACCGGCCGACAAACAGGTCCCGTTGTCTAACGCTTCGAAGGTCGCGTTTAACGGTCGTCGAAAGCACTCGTAGAGATCGATAGGTCCGTTTTCTCATCAGCGCCGTGACGTTTTGCGAATGATAATCAGAGCGTCTCGTAGTGGCTCCTCGATTGACCTAGCCCTGCGATCCGCCATTCTCGGCTCGTAATTTCCGGGATAAGAGGGAGGGGGGAGCCGGAAGAGCGCGACGCTGCTTTGGGATTCGATTTCAACAACTCGCCCGGGGGGCATACCAGCTTCGTCGGTCCGCTGCTACTTCTCTTTTCAGCCGTCCGTTGGGATCTACGACAACCTCTGGAAGTCGCGATCAACGACGGGAGTCTCTGTCCGTGACGATAGGCACGTGTCGTTCCGAATTGTGATCGATGGGGAACTCATCATACGCCATCGTCGAATCGATCGACGGCGGTCGCGGCGGGATTATTAAAAGGCGATTTAAAACGGACGAAGGAAATGATTTCGTGAGGCGGAGGGGCCTCTCGTCGGATCTGGGAAACGCAGGTGGCGGATGAGCAGCGGCGATCGCACGAGGTTTAATGGATTACATAATCGACGATCGGGCGCGACCGCAATTTCGGGATTCTCGCGGGATCAGATTAAACGAGGGGAGATCAGCTCCGGGATTTATTGCGTCGCGGCAATAAACTCACTAATGCGCCTTGTAAGCCGTGTCGCACGCGAGCGCGTTCCTCCTCGTTATCGTCGCAACCAAACCATTACTACTACTACAATTATACTACTACTATTATTACTACTAGTATTGCCGCTGCTGTATACGTGAGATATCAATTTCACACTGCGAAGAGTAGCGGGAGGGCAACAGCGGAAATAGCGGGCTTAGTAGGAGGAAATTGTCAGCGTGAAGAGGCTAAAGGACACGATTATCAGCGATCCGCGAGCGATCAATCCCACGAATGCGAGCCAATCACAGCCGTCGGAGTTTCGTTCGTGAAAGTCGCCCGGGCGCGAGAATTGAAGATGGATGGCGTTTATTCTGCATGTCGTGTGTCAAGTCCCGGCGCGCATCGACGACTGTTGCTCGAAGAGACGGACATTTTGGCAGCGAACGATTTTTCCATCTATCCTTCGATCGGTGGGTCGCGATGGAGACGATCGGAGCGGAGGAAGGAAGAATAGGGAGTTTTTAGAAGAGTTTAGAAATAATTGTCCACGCGCGGCCGACTATATCGCTGAGAAGCGAAAGAAAAACAAAATCGAGGAAAAGGAGAACGTCGACTTTGTGAGCGGAGTAGATGTAGGTCTTTACATTATTAGCGATGAGCCTTAGGACACTCACACACGGAGATTTAGAGCGGACGATCGTACGCTACACTGGTTAATAAAGGACACAACGCGACTACGGCGGGTACCACGTCGCCGTTTTAAAGACGCTGACTTTCAATCTTGAAGATACAGTAACAACTCGAGGACCTAATAGACAATACCGATCTGCTTACCGTAAACTATCGCACAAACTGTCGGCCCTAAATCATCACTTAGCAGTGGACGTTAACTTGACGCGCGGGGAGAAAAGAGAGCTTCTTCGCATTTTCATCCAACCGCACTAGACACTCCGCTCTCTTCGGCACGCATGTTGGCCTGGGCAACGGGCAGCCGGGATTAGCAGAGAGATCAAATTGCGACCGCGAAGAGCCACGTCGAGCAACAATACACCGAGAGATCGATCCGAGTGGCCGCGAGACTTTCAATTTCCACGCGATTAGAGCCATCCGGACGACATTCGCCGCACATTGATCCAATTTGATCGCGCGATCGAGTCAGCAGGGGTGTCACCCGATCCAGTCGTTCCTGGATGAGAATAAGGACGGTGTGAAACGCACTCTTAATGCCTTTCTATGTCTATCTTAATGCCTGAACTAATTTCATATTAAAAATTCCTTGTTATCGCACTGACGCATGTACATTTATAAAATAATAGATTTAAAACGTTAAAGTGAAATATTGTAGCAAAAAACTTGTAAAAAGCACGTTTACAACGATAACTATCACGACAGATGTGGAAAAGCCTATAGTCAATAGACTAAACGACGTGCTGGGAATAATTTTGTTCGTTTACGCAAAATTTCGTTGATTCGATCACTTTTCCTTCTCAGTATAATATTAGTGAAATCAAGCCAGCTGTGGAAATCGTCGTAGCGACGGGCATTGCGCTTACGACCGCGACCCATATTACAATAGGTATAGAAGGGCTTTACAGGGTGCGAATTACAATAACAATGTTCCGTTAGTTCTCCCTCTCTCTCTCTGTCCCTCTTACGTTCTCTGCAGTTCTCCCTGACGCGCTTTCTCCCAAAATTTCTCGGCAGAATCAAGGACTCCGCGATGAAGCGGAGTATACACTCCACCGCGCGCGAAAAGCTCGAGAGCGTCTTCCGAGATGAAGGCCGGGTTTCCCTCGAAGGGGTAAACACATCCCCCCGCAACGAAGATTCTCCGGACCGTTTTCGGCAAGATACACTCGCCGAAATTGGACGTACGCGCTCGTCCACGACTCTCGTTTATCATCGCGTTCGGAAAAAAAGTTCTCGAAAACACCATCCGCACCACAGCGGGGTGGTTTACGCTTTCGTTTCACGGTGACCTCGGAGTCCTTAATTTCCAGCGCGAGCTCGTTCGAATCGGTGCGATGATATCGCGTGCATTAAGCCGCGCAGCTCTTCGTGTGGAGGGATCCGAAATCAATCGCCCGATTCGGCCGTTTTATTACGAGCGAGTGACGCCACGAACTTCCTCCTCAGATAAGATCGAGGAGGTAAAGTGGTTCCCAATGCAAATGCGCCAGGGAGTCGGAGGCGCATTAAGCGCGCTCGTCCCGATGTTTTAACATTTTATTGAAACGCAACCGTCGGCCGATGGAAATCTGAATAAACGCGTCGCCGTAAATTTCGACGGAAATGGTACAAGTGTCGCATTCGTGTGCGTAAAAGCGAGCGAGCGAACGAATGAGCGAAAGAATTGTGTGCGCTTCTTTTTATTGTCCCGTGGGAAATGCCAGGCATTTTTAAGTTGAACGTAAAGATTGTCTCTGCGACGCAAGCGCTCACGTACGATAAAAGCGATGTGTTCGTGCAACGAAAAAAGTAAGAGAGAAAGAAGAGAAAATGGTCCTTCGGAAATAAAAAATCTCATTTTCGCAAATTAGGTGAACTGCCCAATCACTGGCAATCAGATCGGCTATTCGCGTGAGGCAAAGAGAGAGAGAGAGAGAGAGAGAGAGAGGGGACATCTAATTAGTCGTAGTTTCCCGCTTGTTTATCACCGACCAATTGATCCGTCTGTCCCGTTACGAGACTTTTTAAGCGCCTAACGAGGATCTATCAATGTAGCGGCGATTATTGAGAGAAAGATAGAGCGAAAGGGAAAAAGAGAGGCGGTTCGCGAGTTTTGCAGCCGAAGTTTCGCTAGATATAATAAAGACACGGAGGTACGACGAAGGGGGACGAAACTCGCGTCAATCGAAATGCTGACGTCGAATCATTATACCGAGGCGACCGTAGCGAAAAAAAACCATGGAATATCTGTCAGCTGTCGAAATCATCGTTAGGACGGTGCACGCGCGCGACAACGATAAAGACGGTGTCACTTTTCGACGCGTAACACGAAACGAGCGGAAAGTTAGGAGCGAGAAAAGGATAGAAAGATGAGAGAAAGAAGAAAAGATAAAACGTGACAGATACATATACATACGCATTACTGTTAAGCGAGATGTACATATACACAACACACATATATATATATGTATGTATGTATGTATATATACATATATATATACACAAATTGTATGTATAAATATACCGTGTATCGTATCCAGATAATGTGTGGCGTCGCACACGAGACGGGATCTAGTTATCGTAGGCTTAAATGTCACGGCACCATGCAATTCCGCAACAATTCGCCGCGCGACCTCAGAGGTCGCAGCAGCGATTTTAGTCTAATCAATGAAGTTTTGAAGAAAGGGTTCTTATTAGTTTCCGCATCGCGGTCGAAAGGAAGAAGAAGAAACGGAAGAGAGAGTGCGACCCAAAGCCATCGAGTCGCTTCTCCCTTCCCGTCTCGTCGTCGTAACCGAAGCGAGATGTCGAGCGCGAGAGCAACTCGCGAGCTCGTTTGATTCCTAATTAGTCGGCACAGGTCCAAATTGGCCTGACACATGGGAACAATCCGTCGGTCCGTTTGCGCGATCATAATGACGCGTCTGCGTGACACGTCGGATTCTCTCGTCGCAGTATCTCGGAGTAAAGTCTGAATCAATGCAGTTCCATTTTCTAGGTGCAGTGACACCGAAAATCTCCAATCAGGCGCATCATTTCGAAATACTTGTACATCATGACTGTAGTTTTGGAGCATCATTGTCAACTCACTGAATGATCGACAGTCGTGATGCACGAATATTCAATCACATCCGATTGGAAGTTTCCGGTGTCACTGTACCGGGCGAATAAAACTGCATTAATAGAGTCTCTTGTACAGTGAGAAGCAAAACAACCTGGATGCGTTTAAATTTGGAGCGCAATAAATTATTACCACTGAGCGTGCCATCATTGCCGACGAGCTTACGATCGATTATGATAGGAGCCAAAATGGCAGTAAAGAGTTTTCTCCGGGCGAGATGAGGGCGCGCGTATTTACTACGCGACACGACTCTAAGAATCGACCATCTTCTCTGAAAGCTAGCGTGTAACAGATTCCGTTCATGATTCACGCGTCGTGGTATTTATATATACATACATATGCCATGTGTACAGGGTGTCCTATATAAATTAAGCATCTAGGGTCGTTGTAGAGACGGTGGGAGGAGAAGAACGCTGAGAAACGTCTGCGTTGCGCTTGGTGGATCCTCGTGGTATCGATTTCGGGGATTCGCTCTCGGATTGACTTCGGTGTCGCAGGGCGGATTTTCTCGCGGTCAATCGGTTCCTCGGTTTCTCATTATTTAGTTTCGACCCCTGCGCGTCCGGATGAGCTCTGAAGTATTTCGACGACTGCATTTAGTGCGGAACAAACGGTACGAGCGGGTGGTATGGCGCAAAAGGATTAAAAAAAGAAAGAAGCGCTGGGAATTCCAAGTAGAGTGAAATTTCATTTGGAGCTTCCGCACCGGACGTTAGAATGCGCGCGGTCTCGTCATCTGCTCGCTCGCTCGCCCAAACATCCCTCTGTATTCAGCCGCGATACACGCGTTTGCAGTACGTTTGCAAACAATCGAATTTCTCCGCTTTGATCTGAAATTGATACCTCTCGTATCAACGCCTCGAGCGACTGTCAGCCGGGACACGTATTCGCGACTTCGCCAGGAGTGTCCTCCGCAGATCGAAACCCGATCTCCGCCGGACTGCTTTAGAATATGCGACGCATTAAGGGTATATGGGTATATACCGAGCGAACGAACAATGAACGAAAAGCAAGTAGGATATTTCGTTGTTACGGTTAAGAAAATGGGTACATACAGAACAATTTCACTATACCGCTAAGAAAAGCGTTATATTCAATAAAGAATATTTTCTTGATAATAGCCTTAAAATATGTTCATCACAAATTTTAAACAAGCTCGTTAGCACGTACTTAAACGAAAGATTTATTCTCTTTTCAAGATTATTATAAAACTTGACTGAAGAGAGAAAGATTAGATCACCGGTTAATTTCAATCAAACACAATCCAATTTTTGTTTAATATTCTCAATTGAAATAAAGTACCAAGCTTACTAAGATTTAGAATATATTTTAAATAAATTTGTGCGTGATGCTTACGATAAACTTCTTATATATTTGCGAATATATAAACTTATAAAGTTCGTATATTTTTATATATTTTTTCAGTATATACCTCTTAACGGACAGGACGTTTGACTTGCAGTCGAACCGATTCCCTTATGAGGCGGTTAATTAAAGAACGTTCGTAAAGATACAATGATCTTTGTTTGATTCGTTTGAGCTTTTGACGTATACCGATTGGTATATATTTGTAGTATTCTTAAAACGGTATCAGCAAATGTTCGTTCGCTCACTGTACACTCACTTTGATGTGTCTTCTTATTTCGACACTCCGGAAAATCGCCGATACGACGCGGAGTTGGTGGTGCCGATAGTCCTCGGTATGTGCGAAGTGTATATGCAGCTGGGGATATTTCAGAGCTCGCGCATCATTTCCACTCTGTTACCGAAGGTAACGTCGCGTCACGTCACTCACGTCAGGTCACGTCGTCGTAACTCGACGACGATTCGTCAACGCAATACGTCGCGAGGTAGTTAGTCGGTTTAGGTTGAGGAGTATCTCGTCGACACACACCACAACCTAAATTTCGTACCTGTCGTACGCTCAAGGCGCGTCGGCAAAGTAATCTTCCATTTCTTACATATCATATACATATATATATATATATGTATACATATGCGCGTGTGTATGGGTAAATGCGAGAGCGTGAGTATTTCGTATATCAGCGATCGGCGCAGACCGTTAAGCAGTATCGATCCACACTGATCAAAATGAGCGGCATGAAAGATAAAATAGAGAGGTAGATAGAGATAAAAAGAGGGGGAGGGAGAAGTGAAAAAAGAACGAAGACTTAGTATTTTAATTAATCGAGCGAGGCGAGAGAGACTATTTTCTGTAGATCTACCATCGGCTCTAATGTCCATCGGCTTAAGGGGAGATAATATCTTATCATATCGGTGGCAGCATTGCGTGTCAGAGGTCATGATGAAAATATACGGTGTCTCTCGACAGTGTGAGGGGGGAGTATATATGTCTTCTCCCGAATCATCTACACGATACGCAACTCAGAATTCATGCTCGTAAGTGCGGAATACGTCTTTCCTTGAAGAAGGAGGAGGATCGTCGTTTCGCGACGAAAATAGCGCAGAATCTATAAATGCGAAATTGAAATTCAACCTTATTCGATCCGCGAGAGTGACGAAATTAGCGTTCAATCACTCGGCCCTTCCCCTGTAATTCAGCCGTCTGCCCTGCGTCTTGGCGAAGTTGTCTGAATAAGTAAGACGCTTATCATAGATAATTCACTCTTAATAAAATACGCGAATGTCATTGTTTATCCGCGCCGACGACGGGAGCGGATTCTCGCGTGCGCTCGTTCTTTACTACCGCGGATTTACGACGGGAAAAATACGGTACGTATAAACCGGTAAATACGGAAAGATCCGAAAAAAGGAATCCGAGGAAACGCGCGCTGCATTATCTTGATATATCGCGGCGCGGGGATATTTCGCCGATAAATCGAACGCCGCCACCGCGTGGCATCGCAAAAATCGGAAAACATCATCGCGCGAAAATTCATTATTCAAGAACACCGTCGTCGTCTCGTGTCGAAGAGTATTCTTTCCTGTCTCTCTTCCGCGTTCACCGACAAATGCCCAAAATACCGCGCTTCATTTCATTCAATTCGATGTTTCACCGGACATTTTCTTAACCAGGCATTAACGCGTCAGAGCGACAAAAGCCATTTCCGAACACTGTGTGAGAAACATTATTTTTGCTCTTATAGAAGAAGATATATTTGAGACCAAAAATAATTATTTTAGCGGGATTTCTCTCAGTGCATGTGTTATTTATAGTATTTTACAGTCTACTATATTAAAAAATTTATTATGTTGCATAATAAAATAAACTCTATTTACTGTAGACTATTCCTGCACTACTAGAAAATACGATAATATTGGAAAGGATTAATTTATTTATGAAAGAAGCGCGCCTGTTCGCGCTATTTATGCTGTTCCCGTACGATATGAATGACCCAGATCGGAATGATTCGCGTCTAGCCTTGCACGTTAATACGTGATCATGTGAAATCGTGAAATATTCAATCAATCGCAAAATACGATTTTTCTTCTTCTATTATTTTTTTGTTTTCGGCACCTCAAAAACAAGGGAAAAAAGATGCGATGAATAAATTTTTAAATACTCGTTCCAGCCGTACATCATTGACATCGTTTCGCTTCTTTGACGCGTCGCGTCGTGATAACGCTCAAACGATGACGCGATCGCATATATCGCGTAACAGCGCTTTTAACGGCTGATTTAAATTCGAGCCCGCGCGCAATTCTCCCCAACCCTCCCGTGCGTGCTCGCGTTCGTGTGAAAACATTTCGCCATTACGGATATGAAACCGGAATCGCTCTCGAAATCGCGCCGCACGACGTGGAGGATTGTCCTCGCAACGACGATGAGTTGCTATTTTATATAACTGGAGAATGAAATGAGAGGGATGGCGTTGAGAAAGGTCGGTACGACATCCATCGATTCGCGGTCGGGTCAAGCGAAAATTGCGAAGATCGATAATCGACGAGCACGTGCGGGCGAACGGGGTGGAGATATATAACGATCAGCAATTTTTCAGAATTCGCCCTGCCCGGGAGTACCTTAATGCCCATCAAAAGGCGAGTTACGAGCAATTTGCGCACGGCGGATGCGCCGCGTTAAATCGTTCTCCTGAAATCCGGTGATGGATCACAAAGGCGTGACCTCATTTCCTTCCCGATGACACTGTCGGGAGTACCAGATGCTCCTGCACAACTTCGTCACTCTGACGAGGCAATCTGCCGCGTTCTTGTGTCAACGAGCAGCAGCGGCGCAACGAGAGACACCCCGCGTGCGCGCCTTGAGAGCGTGTTTAATTGCACGGACGTATCTGATAGAAATCGCTCCGGTGTCGTTTCTCTCTCTCTCTCTCTCTCTCTCTCTCTCTGCATTTTTCGAAAGAAGAGTCGCTGCTCAGCTTGCGCTCGTAGCTCAGGAAACGGACGCGTGCGCAGCACGCAAGTAAAAGGATTCGTCGTCATTCAGGTAACGTAGCCTGGAACGAAAAGGTACAGAGAGAGAGAGAGAGAGAGAGAGGAGGAAAGAACCCCCTTCTCGCAGATCGATGCGCAAGGTTAAGCGAATCAGATTATCGGGGGTTTCCAAACACTCGTACTTGCGTAAGAGACAGGAGAGATAGCAAAACGGAGATAAAAAAGTGGACGTGTTCGTTCCGAAAAATACGAATCTCGGAGGTCGATAATTGAAATTGTTTCCGGATACCGAGACGATCTACCGAAATATAACTTTATCCCGGAATATTTATTCATTTATTTATGGAAGTCACACTATCAAAATAAATCAATAAAGAGACAATGAAGAATACAATTTTCCTAATATAATAATCTGGTCTATTTACGTATACTTATCTACTTTCATGTATCTTTAACGAGTTTCTTTGTGTATAAAATGGATTTTTCTTAAGTTAAATAAATAAACAAATAATATTAATAATTATAAGATTATTAAAAAACGAGAAGAAAGAGTATTTAATAATGCACGGATTTAATAATGCGATAATAATGAATTGAATAAGGACAAAAATGAAATTAAAATATTTATTTATTATTAGTCCAGATGCTTCGAGATCCGAACCCTTTTCTTGATAATTATATGCTTTCAATGTTACGGAAAAGTCATATTGAGAGATCGTTTCGCTTTCGGATCGTGACTTATCGAGAAATTGTTCCACTTTTCGGTTTTTGGTAGGTATTTTTCGAGGTCAAGGGGCGTGTCTATCGAAAGATAAAAAGAACGTGCGTAAAAGAAGAAATTATAAAAGAGAAAGCGGAAGAGAAGGAAGCTGAAGGGCGAGCCTGAGAGACAACATTAATAGGGCCTACCAGCTGTTTAGCATTTAACGCGGCCCTCTCATCGACCGTACCGAATGTATCCTCACACACACATATCACTAGGTAGTTCTCTATTCATCGAAGAGCGTCCCGCGAAGTTAATTTTAGGATTAGTGCCTCAACAAAAACGACACACGTTCGATGATCGGCTACGCGGGGTGACGCAAATAGGAACGTCGTAATACAGCGTTGTACTGTAATTCGGCGTTGTACGGAGAAATTCTGCAGTTATCCTCAAAGAGGCGTCTACTTCGTCGGGTTTTTTACGGACCGAAGAAATTTAATACGTTCGTTACGCGAGTTCGCGCGCGCACCTTTCGGGTTTACGGTGATTCTCCCGCCGGCGGGATATAATCCGATTCGCGCGAATCCACACTTCGATCGTAAACCGCTTCGAGCGAAGCGCATCCGCCGTCTGCCGGTGGAATCGACGATGAAGCGGAAACGTCAGACACACAAATCGACGCTCCGATTTAAATTTACTGTCGCCGTATCAACACGAAATGTCACGCGTAATTGGACTCGAAACGTCATTTGTTTGCGAGAGTTGTCACAATGACGAGATATTTCGAGGACAACTGTCAAAGATTACGGGAGAATTCGATCGCACCTCGTGCGCACAAAACACTCTCCGTTGAACGCGTTTCGTATCGCGGCGATTCCTTTATTTCGCGTCACCCTGTAGACCAGAAGTGCACAACATTCGGCCTGTTTCCCTCTACGGCGGTCTCGCCCGTCTGTCTCTATTTATTCCACGTGGAGCAACTGGCTATCGCAAGAACTTGTCGCGAAGCATTGCCGAAAACGGAAGCCACCTTTCCGAGCTAACTCTTATTTAAGCCGAATGTCGCTCGCTTTGACACCCGAGCCGTGCACTCCTGCCCGCAAACAGATTGTTCCTGCTCAAGAGCCGAGAGCTTCGGAGGAAAGACGTAATAGAAGGAGTAGTTGTACGCGATATTGTATAGAGAAGAAACACTAAATGTTCCGTATTTTTGTGTCAAGTTTAATTAGAATCGTCGAGAGAAAGAGAGAGAGAGAGAGAGAGAGAGAGAGAGAGAGAGAGAGGAAGGGCCATAGCACATAGAAAAATATAAGTAATAAAACTAGAGCAGTAAGGTCAATGGTATACGTAAAAACATAAGAACAGTAAGACACACAAACAGTAAGATTTAAGCGGCGAGCAAATTGACCGGTCATAATCAATTATTCTTATGACGTAATGAAAATAGCTGACTAAGGTCGGTCAATTTGCTCGCTGCTTAAGTTTCATTTCTACATAATAATCATTGATATTATGTAGGTTTTGCTTCTGCATACTGAAGTAAAAAATGTTTAGTATTTGTGACTGTACAGTCGCATGGTGAAGTAGTTATAATCGGAAAATTTTGGCAGCCAACGCTGCTATAACATTGTTAAATAATAACCTCATATTCATATTGCCATTATCTTTTTGTTCTAACAACAATAAGATATGTTTGGCGCCAGAAATGACTGTAATTCGCAGTGAAATTTTATTCTGCACGCGCCGGCATGACAGCGAGTCAGTCGATCACACTCGAAAATCATGGAGATCGTAAGGGACACTCTACAATGGTTGCAAGAGTATAGTAAGTTCGTAAGAACCCATTTCCTGTGTAGTAGGCCATAGCGTAAGATCATAAGCAAAATTGATTATTTTCATTTCTTACGCCTTACGGCCTCACGTCGACAGTCAGAATAAAATAGCACATTAAGGCTCTAATCTTCTCCCTCACAATTGGTTCGCGCCTTATGTTTTGCTGTAAGTTGTTGTCGACGGTGTCGTCTTAAGATGATGAAATTTTACGACTTTCAGCTAAATGCCATGGACTTACAGCCGTTCTGTTACGGCCGTTAAGAGTATTGAAATTCTCAACTGATCGATCAATTGGCTTACTGCTCACAAGTCTTTCTCACCACTTAGACTTGTGAACGTCTGTGCGCCATGGCCCTGACCTGTTTGTTCATTATTATCAAATAAAATTCGTATATATCGAGCGCACCTCGCATACGCACTGAGTCGCTCCAATTCCGTGCTTTGTGACGCGCAATTTGTATTATTCGACGCTCGCGTAATTACGTTTGAACTGGATTCGATTATACGAAGAAGCGCGCGTAAAAGCTCGATGAAACGATGAAGAGACAATCGAGGCGAGTTCAGATCGACCGTGCAGATTTGTTTCGCTTTTCGAATTTGTTCTATCGCTTTATTCGGCAGATTCGACGAGTCTCATATCCGGCTATTCTTATCAGCAAAATATCAATTATTACTAGTCGGTAAAATCGAGCACGCCTGCTCGAACGCGTTGCGATCCAGAAGCGCTTTTTAACTTCGTTCCGAATTCTCTGTCGTACATTTCTGATGCTTTCAAGTGTCTCTAGCACGGTGGAACCAAATGCGTAGTGACCAAATGCATAGCGATAAGAATATATTTTAGCGTATTACCCCCCGAGAGATATTATTAATTTAAGTTACTCGAAATACATTTGCATCGAGTAATGTCATACACTAGGTACCGAATGTGCAACAAAGCGAGAATACAAAATTGAAGTATTCAATCAAAAGAAAGAAAAAGAAGAGAAGATTAAAGAGACTTTTATTCATTTAGTTATTGTAATATTTAGTTTGCACATTATAGGAGGCGTACAACGATTATTATATATTTGATATTTGATTGATTTCATATACATATATACATATTAAATATTTTGGTTATATTTGCTTAAATTAGATATTTTTTATTGTGCGATTATTTTGTATTACGTAGCTTATATACTTCGCTCGATCGATTTAGTTTAAAGGGAGAATTATGCTTAGCGGACGACGTTATTTTGTATCTGTTTAGTTGGAAATGAAAATCTGTGTTAAATATGCAGAAGCAGAGTGGCATGGTGTTAGAATAAAATTGCGAACCGTTAAAAATCGTCGTCCTCTGTGTGTGTATGTGCGCGTGTGTGTTCCTCTTTATTCCGTTTCATAAAGAACCGATCACTAGAGCCACGACGGCTCGCTGCTTTTTGTTCCGTTCCCATCGCGCGCCCCCAAATTCCCACGCCCACTTGTTGAAGAACATGCAGATTACGAAACGAGCGATTTATAAAAATAAAAAAACCGGCGCTTTCAATCGTGCGAGGATTAATCGACGATAGGGAATCGATTTGCGAGGAGGGATCTGATTTCTTACCAAAATCCATCTCGCGTCCCCGTTCGCGAGCAATTCCAATCAAATCGTACCGGTGAGAGAAAATGTCAATCCGAACGGAAATAATTTAATTTTGCTATATTCATTTATATTACAAATTGCCACTAAATGCATTGAGAAAAAAATACTTAAAAAATTTACAAATATTATAAATTTATAACGAAGGATATAAAAAAAGTTCCATGTTGTCCCACCGTTATATTTTAATCGATAATTTATGAGCCTGTAAAATTTCCGTTTACAAAGTCTTTGTAAGGACTTACCAACATATCAAAGTTAAATATTATATTTTCAGAGACAATAACGTCATTTTCATGGAAATGCGTCTTTGATAGATGGGCAAAGAGCAAAAAGAATACACGTAATGAATTACTTTCACGCATTGTATCATATTTTCTGCAAGATCATGATGAAATTATTCAAGAGCACGTATAAAACTGTAAATTATAAAATACAGAGGTTCTTTCTTACGTTGGAAAAAATCTTTAATAAATTATTCAATCTAATCTCAATTAGTGTTATACAATTATTAAGTGTTAATTAAAAGTTGCTGTAAAGCGGAATAAGAATTGTTTCCCTTCAGACCGTTCATTTGTTACACTCCAACGTCACGCGAAATATCCTTAATTTATTCGTTAGATTTATTTTGCGCAACGAACGCGCGTTGCACGCGCAACAAGTGACGCGGTTTGCTCGCGTGTTCGTGCCACCAATGATCCGCAAAGACATTTACAGTTTGATCGACGCATTCGTAAAGTGTTACAATAGGCGCGTTCGTTAACTATGCACCGTATCGGCTGCGGTTAAACGCATCAACGTTTTATGCGGTTACGGTAAACGTGCGCGGGAGAATCCCTCTCCCTTCCCTCCACGCGACAACCGCGATGGTTGCAATTGATGGTAAAAAAAAAAAGGAGGAGAATATTAATTGGTCACGGCGGATTCGGAGCTCGCTGAATTTTTATTATCCGCCGCGGTTGTTTGGTCCATCGCCGTTAATTTCTATTGACTTTCGGATTACACGCGTTTTAGTTGTAAAACGACGACCCGCATAAAATAGCGAAGCAGAGCGTCCACGCGACATCGCGTTTTTGCAATTCGATATTCGTGTCGATGTCGCGAAACTTTCAACAATCGCGGGAATCGTCGTGAGTTGTTCCGGCGCGAAACGCCGGTACGCGTAATTAAATTATACGTGTACCCCGCATATTCCTCGTTCCAGCGGGAAAAATTACCTGATGGATTTTTTCAACCAAGTTATCTATATGCGCTCGTCGTTGTCTCTCTTTATTTTCGGCTAATTACACTTCATTTTTTCGTCAGATGGACAACTGGGAGGGAGAAACGAGTGAAAAAGCGCAGTTTTGGAAGGAAGCGATAAGTGTTTTGATAAAGAACACTTTTATTTCAATGAGAGTTCCAAGACTATTGTGTAATAACGTTTTCTGGCACTTAATTGAAGTCGAAAATGTTCTAATACAATTAGGATTAATAATATATGATGTGGAAATAATGATAACTAAGCTTTAAATGTCCAAATGAACAAGGAAATGATTTTCTCCTATTCATTTCAAACAGACTTTAAACAAATTTTTATGTTAGATTTAGCTACACACGCAAACACATGAAAAGTTATGTCATGTTTAATCTCCCTCGATTTTTTCATTGAGGAGATATTAACTCTAAATATTGCTCAGGTAACCTCTCGGTAAAATGAATGTCGCTGGGACACCCTGTATAATTATATATCATCATTTTTTTCTCGGAAGATTGCGTTCCTGCGAGTGTTCGGCTGATTAAACCACTCGATCGGTCTGAAATGACGCGAGGATTGGCTACGCGCCAACATGACGGTCGGTTTCCGTGCTAATGATTTTCGCGGATGAGACACAACCGGCACGCTTGCTTTTCCGCGTGCACACACGGTATCGCGGTTTCCGTCCGAATCTCCGGCCTGCTCCAATCTCGCATTAGAGTGATTTCGGGTCGAGCGGCAAGCTCGAAAAACGTCGCGTAACGACGCGGAGGACGACGAAGCAGACGATGTATGTAGGGCAAACCGACACAGCGCGTTAATACCTTTCTCGCTGAAATGACCGCGACTGTAAACTTTTTTGAACTCTCTCGCTGTCGACGGGACGCCCCCCGCCCATTGTTTTCCCACGTAAACGGAACGGGGTCAGAGATGATTTTGCGAGTTTGACATTTTCTTCCGCAACTATGACAACTTTTAGCAACGCTCTTTTTCACCTTAATTTCGAATGCGGCGACGATGACTTCCGCTTCACCCGTTGGACAATTATTTCTTTGCACGCCGAACTGTCAAACGAAAGAAGCGATTACTCGCGCAACGGCATCCCTTTCTATCCCCCCTCCCGTTCCTCGGTAATCCTGTTTTAGGTGTCGTTTGCATCGCGGTAATCCGACGTGTTTCGATAAGGGAAGAAAAATGTTCCGCTGCGTTCCGAACGGCGATTACTACCCCGATACTCCGCCGGTTTCAGCACGTGACGACGCGCGAGTACGCCGAAAAAAAAAATTGCAACTACAATCGCACGAATGGAAAAATTATAGTCGGAAGAAGCATTTTTCCAGTAAGTGTTACTACAATATCAATAATAATAATCTTACCATTGGGGGAAAAGTACCAAAACCGACATACCATTTTGTTTTTGAGAGAAGTCATATTCACTCGAATGCATGTAGGTATTTTTCTAATGGCTCTCTTGATAATCAACGTAGACGTTCATGTAGAAATAATATTCCTACATCGCGCTGTAACATCCGCAGAGGCTTTTATACGCCATCAGGAAGGTTTGTTAGTCGAATGTATTTTTCTGTTTGCAGTGACCATTTTTATGACCAATCTCTTACTAGTCCTTTTCCTCTACTTTTTAGGTTAAAACTAAAAGAAGATATAGTTGAGGCCGAAAATGATTAGAATTTCACTCGGAATTCTCCTAGTGTATTCAGAAATTTTCGCGACATCCTTTGACACAGAGCGAACAGGCCGCATGCATCAGGGCGCGGCCGTCCGCGCTCATTGCTATTCGTCCAGCTGTGACATATCAAGACCATTTTCGTGTGCGTGCGTGCGTGCGTGCGTGTGTGTTAGGTGTACACACATTTCAGCGAGGAAATAAAAATTCATATATGCCAGTTTTGTTCGCTTCCTTCCCTCCCCCAAGAGCGAGAACGCTCGCGGTTCCTCGAAATAATCGAGATGAAAATCAGGACAGAGACCGCACTCTCTCGCGTATTTCCGTAAGGGTCACGGTTTCAATGGCCAATTATTTATGAATTCTGCCGAGAAAAAGTAGCGAGAGGAGATGCTCGCTGTCGGAGGAGAACGGCAGGAGGTAAAGAGAAAGGGGATAGACGACAAGCGAATAAATCGGTAGACTGCGACAGAGACAGAGAGAGCAAATGACAAAAATAGAGTTCGAACTCCTTTGACCATCGATCTCCTTGTCAATCTTGTCTCGTTTGAAAACGGTGGGAGAAAACTACTTCGAATGCACTTCCACGAAAATCGCACTGAAGTATACATTGCTTGTACAACGCTGGGCTACATCGACAATTAGGAATATTTATTTCGAAAAGATTGCGTATCATATGTCCCGTAACGTCTATTTACTTGGGTTTCTCGCGATTTTTCCAACATCGGTATGCATCCACGTGCGTTGCGAGAAAGCATTAGGTAAAAAGAAGCAAACTTCCAGGATAGTATAAATTTTGCCGAGCAAACTGCAGCCGAATCAAATTGAAGAGAAATCGAATCAGATCAACAGTCCGACGTAGAAATTTGAAATGCAAAATTTGGTCAACGGTCAAGAATAAAAGAAACCGAGAGAAACGTATATGTAATATCAAAAGATTGACGCGACCGCATATTACAAGTAATTTTACCTCCGAGTGGAAAGTTGAGAAAATCAGACGATAAATACGGCCAGTAGTATGTTGGCTTAACTTTACGAATAAGACATTCGTATTTACCTATTAATCTTTAATATTATAGCATTTTTTAATCTTCCAAATCTTATTTTTTAAATTCCAAATTTAATTAATTTTAATTTTAATTTAGGGGATATTTAAAATTAAAAATAACACGCTAATCTCTCTCTCAACGAAAAATGTAAACTTTAATTATCGGTCCGTCTTCATATTTCCAAATTATATTAGACGGTCCGACACGGCAGCGACAACGTGACAAATTTGCCTCCCCTCTTCGCCCTCCCTACATACTTTTTGCTTTACCACGCAGTCCCTCTGAATAATTCATGAAAATCGGATATCAATTCGATATCCAGTGTATATACCCTCTGTCTTTCAGCGAGAGAGAACCAACCCATAACATCTGCACGGGTCGTTTCGAAAAGGTGTCGCTACGGTTCGCGGTTGTGTTTTACACATCGCGGAAAACTAGAAGGAAACCGACGCCGGACGTGTGTCATGCAAATTCATTTCCTTTTCAGCGGACACTCCGCCGTAATTTCGTCGTGAATGTTTTAATACCGGGCGACTCGCATGCACATGAGCAACATCAAACGGCTCTCTCTCTCTCTCTCTCTCTGTCTCGTAGAAGCCCGTTTAAAATAGTTCTCGATACTGTCGTGATGACGAAATCCCAATTTCCCATCGCCCGCTCGCAGGCGGAATTCACGTTTCAATGTAATCGCGTGAGCGGTGGAGCGTAAACATCTTCCGAGGAACCATTCGCAAGACTTAAGCTTGCATTGGGAATGTTACTTGCAACATCGTTATCGCTAGAAGTTGCTTTTTTTTTTAGTAACGATCTGATAACGACGTTATGTTGCTTCATTAGTAACGACAATTACACTTCGAAGCGCTGTAAATGCCGATCTAGGTATCTCGCAAACGAGATACTTAAATAGCAAGTAACGATTATTAATACGGGCCTTATTTTCGTTGCTGTTGATCCACAGCAAACTGTGCCTCTTTTCTTCTCGCTTAGGGTTTTTAGAACTATAAATAGAACGTGTCATCTACACACACACATACACGTCAGACTTAAAAACGACGGACATTTTTGCTCATACGAAGCACCTGTTTGATACACAAGAGTAAATTTCCCGGCCGGAGCTATCGGGCTGACGACCCACTTGCGCATTA